CCCCCCCGGCATCGTCATCGCCCTCATCATCTTGCAGCTCCTATTCCTCCCCCCACCTCCCCCTTTCCCTGTCATTCTCCGGTCTGCGCAGCTCTCCACTTTGCTATACTAGCTTTCATCCCGACCTTCACATTCTTTGCGCTGAGGTTGGAGGTTAATCGCCATTCCGGATCGGTGGATAGGTCTTGGGCCATACAAGTGTTACATCAGCTTCCTCGGAGATATCGTACTGTTTCAGTCCACTCGACTGTCGAGCTCTAGAGTCACACCTTTGCGGTTTTCAGCTACAGAGCCGGCTGCTTCAGACAGATAGCTCGCCCCCCCCTTTCCTCCCCTTCAGTCTTCCACACAGTACCCTATACATACCGATCTGGAAGGAGTCACAGGTTTATCAGCTTCACTTTGCTCGACGTACGACTAAGCCACTTTGACTCGAGTAGCAGACACTAGGTTTGCCCCGTGCCCAAGCTCCTCGGGAGGCTAGTCCGGTTGCGCGACAGTCATCTGGCCCGCTCAGGTCTCGTCCTATCACTGCCGCACTCGTTTTTCTTGCGTGCAGCTGCTGTGTCTTGTCCCCCTCCTCCAGTGATATTCGCAGATCATCTGCACGCGCATATTGGTTTCCGTCCTGCATAGTCCCTGCAGAGGTCTCCTCGCCTTGATACCGCAATATTGCGCTTCCAGTGGTCGGCCCCGTCTTTTACGCTTCCGCAATAGCAGCAGTATCGGCATCCGAGCTTGCCTCCTCCTTTCCGTTGTCGCAGCCCACCTTCCCTCCCACCTAGGTCAATCCACAGGTTAGTGGCGAAGCAAATCGTGACCATGACCACGACTTCCTTCCGTGATTCCGTGAACTCATTGGGTTGGTCTCGGAGAGATCCAGATCTACCGGCGCGCACCAACTCGTCAAATGCTCCTTTCCTATCACGGTTGCAGTCTTGGAATCCATTTGGGCAAGGGGAGGGCTATCTGCAGCTGCCCACCCATGAAGCTCCAGGAGCTCCTCTGCCAGCCCCGACTCGACGGGAAGAAGAAGATAGTTTCTTTGCTTGTGAGTAGTCCTCCTAGCGCATGATCTGATTATTCCGACATACTGCCCGTTTCCTTGATTTCCCGCACTGGCTGGTCCAGGTGACAGAGACTCAGTTCCTGCATCGCATCGGAGTTTCACCCAGGCCCTAGTAACGGGCGATACTAATGTCTTCTATTTGGATGTTCCATTCTGTTATATCCCCGTCATTTGAGTTTCGGTCAGGGCTAATCATGCATCCCGTTCTAGTAAGCCGATGGGACCGGATGCTCATTTTCATTGCGTGCAACCTGGGTGCTGCCGTCTGCTTCCTTATTTGCTTTTTCCTCTTTCCAGTCCTGTCGCTCAAACCCCGCAAATTTGCCATCTTGTAAGTTGCTTGTCCCTTATCCCGAATGATCTTCTGGAACCTCGACACATCTGGAGAATTTGAGGTGGTGGTGTGCTCTTCCTGCCCTTGCTGGAGAGCATGCACGACCAAGCCACATTCCAGCTTCCGTGCTACACTCTATTGCAACTCAATACTTCATGCGCCAAGGCTGGTGTGAATGAGAGACTGTGGCTGACCCAACCGGTTTTTGCTTGGAAATTAGATGGTCCGTCGGTTCTTTGCTATTCTTACTATCATGGGCAGTCCTCATGGGACCTATGGTCTATGCCAGGCATTTGGTCTCGGGATCACGACTGCCATTCACGGCCGCCTATTTCGGTTCGATCGCCATGACCCTCTACTTTGCCATTGGGGTAAGTTTCCATGCCTCCTCTAAGTTTCGACTGTGGTGCCAAGATTCATCCCTGTTGCTCCCGTGTCGAGTATGCCTGCGCTATCAGCGCCAGCTGCTCAGCGATTTCAGTAGCTACTGCTGGAGGATCTTGCATGTCGCCTGGGGTGCACCCTGCATAATGCTCGAGGTCTCTTCCAACAAGGATTCATGACATCATGATGCATTGAATTGCCGGGGCGTTCAAAGTGATCTTTTACCGCACACCTCCAGCAGTGCTGCTTTCTCTTGGGGAATGCACGTGCACATGCACGTGCAGGTGCAAAGACTCCAGATTGGGATAGGAATAACGGCTAACATGCTTTCACGGTCTCACAGCTCCATTCCACCTTGTTGACCCTGATCTCGTCGATCTTCCAGCTCACCGCTCTGCTTTGGTATCTTGTCAGCTATTTCCCAATGGGTAGCACCGGTTTGCAATTCATGGGACGATTTGGCGCGCAGCGTGTCACGGCATGGATGACCAGCTGATGACCTTTGCCCCTTTCTGTATAGAGTAACGACGCGACGTTTCTCTTTTTGTGGTCTGCTGTAGACACCTTCTTGTATATTACCGCATCTTGGCGCGAACATGAGCATGTTGGGAGCATGGTTGATCGACTAATGGTGGAGTTTGATAAATGGCTCCTGACGATTGTATATCACGACTACTACCTAGTATCAACCAGACTACATTGTTTAGTATGACCAATCAACCAAACCTGTAAGATGATACAAGCGCCAACTTCGCACCAAGCTCTTCTTTCTTTTCTACCAATCCATCTTCTCTTACTGCCTCTTCGCCGATTCCCTTCTCCTCCATCCTGCATGAATGCTCAGCGGATAGTACGACCCTTGTGCCCCCTGCTCTACCCTCTCTGCCCCCTTCCTCTCCTCTTTCCAGACACAAGTCTCCCACCCCCATAGCCCACAAGAATAAAGAGGAAACCTGAAACCTCAGCTTCTAAATCAAGTAACAGTCTCCCCAGCAGAAATCGCACAGGGATATTGCATGCCTGCGCGTACAAGTGTATGTGTTCCCTTGGCCCGCTTAAAATCCCCGGCGCCCCGTTTGTCCAGCCACTTCTCTTCCTTCAGCTTTTCTTTTTCTTTTTTTTTGTCGTGTGTGGCTCCGCTACGTCTTCAGCCATGTGTGTGTGCCATGGTATCGCTGTATTCCGAGCCCTACCCTGTCTTTCTCGCCAGAAAACCCTGGCTTGGTGCAGTACAGGCTGCGCCTTGTGCCGACAACGTTTGATTGAATGTTCTGGAATAAGAAGGAGATAGTTATACCTGCCCGCGGCGGTTGGGGTGTATGTTCATGTTCATGTTACGCGAGTTCATGTTACGCGAGATCCGGCTGGGTGATATGTGCATCTCTGGTGTTTTGTGGGTTGGGTTTTGCGATCGCGTGTAGGGTTCCGTTCCTTGGGCAAGTTGAGCGGCTTGGAGAGGTGAGGCCTGGAAAAGTTGATGGGTTTTCGGTGATGGGCTGATGCACCGGGGAGGTGGGGGGGCAAAAGAGTACATATACTGAGCTCGGGATAGATTTCCAGGGGGGGGCTAGCATCTGGGTTGACTTTCTGATGGGGGTGGTTTGCGCGGTTGAGAGGTTGGGGATTGGGCAGATACATGTACATGTACATGTACATGTGCTGTACTGTGTACAAGTCTGTACATGGGTGGGCTGTACTTTCGATACCTTCATATTTTTTTTTGGATGGTGATTGCACCTAAGAGAGAGATATGCTTAGGGTTCATGCTACGTGGAGAGTGAGTTCCCGCTCTTTCGAGGAGGTTTTGGGTCTGCTCGATTATGTTCTTGTTCTGGATTGATGCAATGCATTATAGCATCTGAAAGTCTTCTGGGTAGCTGATACTAATTTGACGGGTATGCTCAGGATAAGCCTGGACAGATCTGTGTCTGCTCTAATCACTGCAATACATCTACTAACATCTTCGCTTTTCATCGGCACGCCACCTATCTTGGTCGTTTCTCTTCCCCTCCTTGGACTGGAAGCGCGAGTCGTCGAGGATCTCCGGGTCTTTCTGCACGGCCCATGTCCACCAGCAGCCTGATATGCACTCGGTGTTCTCGGGGTGAATTGCATGTACCGCACCACCTTTGAATCCCCCTACTTCCCCCGACTCATCACCATCCCTACCGAGCCATGAACGACTTTGACGCCTGGAATCTCCGCTTCCCAAATGCCGGTCTCGCCGCCCGAGCCCACTTCATGCCACCGCTTCAGCAGATCGTTGCTCTCCACCGGCTTGACCTCCTGGGAGACAGTGCCGACCGTGATGTGGGGGGTCTCGTTGGCGCACGGCCAGTCGCCCTGGCTCCCGTCCTCTGGGGGCAAGATGCGCGCGACGAACACCATGAGGCGGTTATCCCAGATGAGGCGCTCAAGACGCACACGGGCGGGAGCCAGGGTGGGGGTGATGGTGGGATCGGATTCGGGCTTGCTCTTCATCTTCTCGACATAGTGGCGGGTGTACCCCTCCCAGATGTCGGGGCTGTCTCTCTTCGAGGCACGATGGATCAACGTGACATGGAAGGCGGGCTGGATGCGGCGCGATCGCGCGAGCTGATGGTAGATGCGGGCTCGCTCGGGGTCGGTCGAAGGCGGGAATAGCGACTGCAGAACGTTCGTGATCTCGGCCGCCGGCAGGCTGATGCAGAAGTACTCGAGCTTCTTGGCCAGATCCTCGGCAGTCGGGGCTACCGTGTTATCGGGGGTGCTGGTTTTGTTGTTGCTCTTGTTCTTCTGTTTCTGGACCTGTTTGGCTGAGCTGTAACCCTGGCTGAGGTCGAGCTCCACCTGGTAGTCGTTCATCGCCCAATTGATGGCGTCGTCGAGCTGCTGTGCGGTGGGAACCTCCTTCACCAGTTTGGGGTAGGACGAGTGTAGGGCTTTCACGACGGTCTCGAGATTCTCCCGCGAAGAAGCTGCGACATCCAGATCAATGACCTCGTCGAAGTCTGAATCTGGGACACGGTCCGTGTTCACGCCCTCGAAGCGAGTAAGGAACCCCTCCATGATCCCGATGATTTCTTCTGTGTTCTTGGTGCCTGCACGGATCGTCTGGTGGTTGTCGCCACGACTCAGTACCCGCTGTCTCGTAACCTCGCGAATACCAGGGAGCATCTCCTGCTTGGGGTCGTGGACATAGTGAAGAGCGATGAATCGAGCCCTGGGAACCCCTGCGGAGACATCCTGTATGAGCTGCTCGCGTTCGCGTTTCTGGTGATTGTTTCGGTCCGCAACCACCACCGGATGTATGGCAAGCAGTTTGTTTATATCCATGGCGAACTTTTTGGGTTTGTTCTTCTGTTTCGGGATGTTGTCGTTCTGTACTTGGCCCCAGTTGAACAATTTGACCAAAGCAAGACCCAGGGTGGTCTTTCCGCATCCCAGGGAAGCTACAGGGACCAAGACAACATCTCTTACAACTTCCTCCTTTGAGTCTTCAGATTCCATTTGGATGATTTCAGAACCGTTCATCCCGTGCTCCTGAAGAAAGCCTTCTCGCATAGCGATTATCCCGTGGTTCTTGTTATACTGCTCCCCTAGGTGCGGGTTCTGTGCGAGCTGTCTGCGAGCATACTGTAGATACAGTTCCGTGATCTTCTTGTGCTTCTTGATATTAGGATATTTGCCGGCGATGATCGCTTTGGTGCACTCGCGCCACTGCCTGTACATCAAGTAAGGCTCTTCAAACTTGTACTTGAAGAACCAATCATGGTAGGGAGGACGGCCACCTTCACCCATCTGGCAGCGAATCACAAACCCTTCGGTCTCGCGACCGTGCCATGTTCCGGTCTCTGCACACTCCTCAAGGAACTTCTTCACCTGGTCGAGGTCTTCGTACAACACGAAGTTAGCCTTCTTGAAGCCCCACGAGTCGGCGAAGGCGTGGACTTCTGCGCTGGAGCACGTAGCGAACTTCGGAACGTTGAAGTTGAGACCGTGCAGGTAAATTCCTGAGACCGTCTCGTCGTATGCAAGGACATGCTCCTCGAAGCTGTCGTCACAGAGCTCGCCCACTGCCGTCACATTGAGTCTGCGCAATTCTCGTGCCAAGTCCTTGACAGATTTCCCAACAGACTTCACATGCCTCTCGACCCACCGTTCACCGGCCTGGGCGTGGCTCACTTCCGCATCATTTCGAACACCCGTCGAGTGCTTACTGCAGACCAGAAGAGTTCCGTCTTCGAGCCCAGAGATGAAAATGATGCACCCATTCTCTTTCACGCTGAGCTCGTATGGCCCTCGTGTGTTCATTTCAATATTCCTCCATTTTGTCGCGTTGACCTCCTCAATGTTGAAGAATTTATCGTATCCCCGGACCGCGATTTCATGTGTACCGTCCTTCCTTTGGGTGGTGAAAAGACCTCGAGCGTAAGTAGGGAGATCGTGACGTCGGTAATCCCAATCCATGAACTTCCAAGAGTTAACTCTGATGCTGTCGGTCTTGTCCACATCGAATGTCGACTTCTTGCAGGTGAAGGTTCTCTTGCTCTCAGCTTTGCCTCTCTTTCTGGCCTCTTCCAGGCTCTCCACAAGCTGAGCTACTTCCTGCTCATCCTGCCGGACCGGTGTGATGTTCTCGTATGACATGGTCGTAAATCGGTGTTTCGTGTTAACTTGGACCGCAGGTGTAAAGCACCGTGGGTGCTGAAGGCGCGCGTGAAGGAGCTGAGGCCGACGGCTTCGAAGGAAGGGAGGGGCGGCTGACTTGTGTCGCCTGGGCCAGAAAGCAATTGCTCTTGGAACTAATCTCGCTGGCTTCATCAAACAGATGGATTTTGATTGGAGGTGCTCAGCGAATCATCGATAGCAGACAGTAATGGGGGAAGAGAAAAGAGCTACTCGTCAGCCTTGCCGGAAATTGGAGTTGCTTATCGGCTTTGTTCGTATGCGGGGCAGAGCTACTGTTCAAGTATACTTTTCAAAAAAGCACCTTTTTTTCCCGCTCGCCGCCACCTCCGACCGACCCCTCCTTCACTTCGGCCTGACTGATTCAGATCTCCCAACCCTCTTTTCCAAATTTCCCTGTCTCAATCTATTCAACTAGTACGTCTGTGTGTGACTCAAGGTTCGTCTAATCTCGCTGACTGACCCAAATTTGGCCTGACTGACTCAATCGATAATTGTCTAGCCGCCACAATGAGTCAACCCAACCCCTACATTCTGGCCGCCGAAAACCCCTCCGCTCTTCTAACGCTATTGCGCGCGAACCCGTCCATCGCTTCCGGTCAAGATGAGCACGGTTACTCACTACTCCATGCTGCCGCTTCCTACGGTCACATTGATCTTCTGCGCGCCCTGGTGAAAGAGTTCAACGTGGACGTCAACCTTTTGGACGAAGATGGCGAGACCTGTCTCTTCGTGACGGAGAGCGTTGAAATCGCAAAGTGCCTTGTTGAAGAACTTGGGGTCGACTACAACAAGAGGAACGATGAAGGCTTGGCTGCGTATGAGACCATTGAGAACGATGACTCGTTCCCTGAAGTTGCAGATTATCTGCGGCAAGTAGCGGGCGTCCCAGCGCCCGCCCCTGCAGATTCTTCGGTGGATGTCGCCTTGAATCAACCTCCCCCTCTGCCTGCAAACCTGCAGCTGAACCTAGGCACGGTGTCGGAGCAAGAGGCGAACGCGGGAATCGACCAGGTGGACCCCGAATTCAAACGTCGGATTGATGAGCTGGCCGCGCGGGAAGATTTCCACAGTGAAGCTACGCAGGCCCAGTTGCGGGAGCTGGTTATGGATGCACTCCGAGGCTCTAGTATTGAGACTGACGAGCGTGGTGTGCGTCGGAGAACGGATTGAGAAGTTGTGGGTTTTCACTTCAAGGACCATTTTGGCTTGCCAAACAGCTTCCGCTTCACTCATCTGAGTCATTATGGGCGCGTTGGTCTATTGAGCCTGCCTGCGAGGCGTCTAGCGATCTCGAACCGCTATTGAGTCTCAACCATTCTCGCCGCTCCAAAGGGTAATAGCGCAGCGCTATTTCGAGCATTTCAACTAGGACGTATACCAACTCCAAGTTTTGAAAAGGACAGCCAATTTGCGCAAGCCACAAGGTTCGGCTCAGGCTTTTATGAGTTGCGCTTATATCGGGCAACCATATCTTGTTGGGTTTTGGCAGCTACGAAGACTACCTACATACTACACGCACCTTGAAAAATGCTGTGTCTCAAGTAGCAAAAATCACTGCGAGTTCTCTAAATGCACTCTTCAAAGACTTTCTCCACACCGGCAAGTGATCAACAAAGGCCCTTTCGTAAAAGAGCAACGATGGTTGAATCTCCAGTAGCATGTAGACGGGAGATATGTCATCTCACGTGATTCGGTGCCTTTTCCCCGCATCGCCCGCACCCGGACTGTTTCTCCTGTTACTCCAACCATCCAATTGCCTGCCTTTGCTTGTTCAGGTGCATCCCTCGTTCAGCCCTGGCTCTCTGGCCAAAGTACCATTTCTAATATCTGGTGCCCGCTTTACATCGAAAGCCCCTGGTCACCATGAACCCGGCACTTAACTCCGACACGCCTCCTCCCCCACCTCCGAAGCCCAGCAGCCACGAGGCCAGTCGAAGAGGCACACCCCAACTCAACTCACCTTTGCCCGGCACACCGCAGCAGCTACACAGAGCCTATAATCAACAGGAAAGACTGGACATGTATTCAGGACACAGATATTCCTCACCAGGGGTTCCTCTGAGCTCCCAGAACGTGCTGCCCCAACCACCTCCTGTTGAGGAAGGTTGGCTACCCAGTAGTGTCAAGGACAAGAGGTATACTCCTACTCTGTATCAATCTTACAGCTGTATCAAGAACACCCCACTGACTTTGATCTTCTCCACAGTACTGTGGATTTGCAAACCATTCTCAAAGACCCGAACCTCATCTCCGCGCTGTCGAGCCAGCATCCATCCTACACGGCGCATCAGCAGCATCTGGAATCTCTCCTGAAGTACAATAAAGACCTGGCAACTCGTCTTCTGGAGCTCCAGTCGCAGATGTCGGAGCTACGGTCCTCGACGGAGACCCTTCTCCTAACCCATCAATCTCTCGAGGTTTCCTGGCGGAAGAAGCAATCCGAGATGGATGCTGCTCTGGCCCCGTGGTCGCCCAAGGCGCTGTACCAGAGGCTGGCTGCTTCGATATCGGAGCAGGAGGCTGTCTGTCGAGCGGTCGAGGAAAGTTTCCTGGAGGAGGAACACCATGGCCGGGCGTCGGAGAAGGAGGTCGCGGATTGGGTTCGACGGGTCAGGGCAGAGTCGGCCAAATTGGCCGCGAGGAGGGAGGCGAAAGCTAGGTGGGATGAGGGACGGGTAGGAGGATGGAGGTGATGGAAGCGGTCCGTTGGAATCAAGGATTCACTACGCTGGGTTATTATTGGGTCCCTGATGACCTCGGGACGGGATGCGTTTCCCATTGCTAAGCGTACGGGGAAAAGGGTGAGGGCGCCAGAAGACAACACCATGGCCTACAGCAATCTTCCAAATGACTCCTGCATTGTCACATCTTCCACTGGCCTGATACACGCTGTTATCTGGTTAAGATGTAGGGATCCTACTCCCTTGCTGCTTTACGGCCACTCTCGAGGTCAATATCTTGATCCCTGGTCTCTGCTCTCACTGGCGGTGCATATTTAGCGGTTGCCCAGTTGTCTGCGCAGACATGGCTCGGCAGTCCCACGCTTCGGAAGAAAGCATGGCTACTGTCCCTCGCCCCCCAAGACCAGCCTGCGCCGCGCATCACGGGAAGCTGGTAAAGGCGAAAACCGATCCAGGCGAAGACGATCCCCATGACTGATCCAAAAATGATGTCAAATCCATGGTGGCGGTAGTCAAACCACCGTGAGGCAGCTATGAAGAACGCCACCGCTATGGGCACGAAGACTATGATGAGCAGGTAAACCGGCGGGGCTGCTCCCTGCCTTCGAATGGTGCTACGCTCCTGTCTCTGCAAATCCTGGCTAAGCGGTGAATGAGCGAGGTAAGGAAATCCGATGGACAGTTTAGCACAAAGCCATAGAGTCAGATACGTCAATCCGCCAAATGCGACTGTTGATTATATGTCAGCACTGTCTGTTCCCCGCACAGTCATTGGGTTTCCCTGGGAACGGATCACTTACAAGAAGAATGCCCACTGGGGAAACTCGAAAAGCCATCAACAGCCAACTCGCGCGCTTGATTTCGACAGATCTCCCACGTGACCAGTGTAGGGGCTCCATCGAGTCTGGATCCCAGGCCGCTGACAGCGAAGTTGCCGATCTTCGAGAGATCCGGATCGCATCGCGCGAGCATATCCGGTCGTGGTTTCCCAAACAGATCCTTCAGCCCCTCGGTCGCCATATAGGCCCCCGCAAGCGATATACCCAGGCCCAGCCATCCGGCATTCCACTCCCATAGCTTGTACCGCCATGATTTTGCGCGTGCCACGATCGTTGTCTCGTGGCCTGTCATCGCAGGGCCGAAGGGGATGAGCACCAGCGCCCCGAGGACGATGATCACGGCCGGGACAATTAAGGCGACCACCGCCACCACACTGACCGATACGGTATCATGGTCTCTGTGGGGGAAGGAGATGCTTGGATCCGTGAGGGAAAATGGCCTCTGATTGGGAGAGACACGACCGAATCCATAGCCAATAAGTGCGATACCACTGCAGGGAGAACACCATGAGTACTGTACACACACACCGACGCAACACGATCTATACGAGCTTTCTGGGGGTCTAACTCGCAAAAACGCACATGATAAGTATCCAGTCAAGGATATACGAGACGACCAGTCGCTTGGAAAAGCGCACATGCGCTGCTCCGAGTTCGTTTGCTCCTGTCGTCGCCGCTGAGGATGGTTGTTGTTCGTTCTGGTTGGAGTTGCGCGCCATGGCCGATGGGTGATGATGTCATTCACCAAAGTTGACGGGATAGGAAAGTACTCGAGTATGTACAGTACGAAGTAGAAAACTTGAGGTTGTTAAATACTAGTCAAGAAAGTTCGAGTTTAATTCTGAGAGAAAAGAAAGTCTGAGCAAGAGAGGAGCTGGGCAGATTCTTTTCACCTCCCGATTTCTTTTTGTCTTCGTATGCGAGGGTGTGTTGAGCTGGAACTGCAGCAACCAACCTGTAGGTCAAAACTGTGGGCAGGGCCTGGACCTTAGTAGGTAGGTATTGGCCAGGTGACCATGCCAGCCACTTAAGGTACGGTACGACCTTTGGAGCCGATTGCCGTGCCCACTACTGCAGTGCGTGCGCCTTCTGCCCTTCCTTCTCATCTTATGATCTGCACTTTAACTCTTATCATGCAGATCTCGAGCGAAAAAAAGAGGGGCATGATCGACGTCAGGGATAGGGGGAACAAAGACAAAACTCGTGTTAATTTATCATCTCGGATTTATTTTATTTTCTTTTTGACATATCATTTCATTGACTCATATCCATAACATTATATTACATAGCATGCGCCCTCCCCTAAACCTTTTCTTTTTGGCAAGGGGGTGTGATGTTGTCACATGCTGTTGAGTTGGAACGCTTGTGAAATTTTCGGAGAAAAAAAGACGAGGATGGTTGGGGGGGGAAAGGGAAATTTATTTCTTGCCATCCAAGTCGGTGAAGAAATCTTTACCGAAGTCGGCGCTGCTGTCGTTGAAGCGGAGCTTGCGGTCGATGCCGCGGATCTTCTGCATGTCTTCGTCGCTCAGCTTGAAGTCTCCCTCCAGGTTGGCCTGGATTCGGGATGGGGTCTTGGACTTGGGGAGGACGGAGTGACCCTGTGTGATACCCCAGGCTATATTCACGAAAATGGGTTAGTGGGCGTGTCTTTTTTGTTGGGGTGGGGGGATGATGGGAGAGAGGGATCTGATCAACTTACCCAGTGCGACCTGAGCGCCACTCTTGTTGTACTTCTTGCCGATGTCGACCAGGACGGGGTCCTCGATCAACTTGCCGATGGTACCCTCCTTGGAGTAGAGCTCGTTCTGGTTACCGAAGGGCGAGTAGTGGGTGATGTGGATGCCCTTGGACTTGTGCCATTCGGCGAAGTCGGGCTGCTGCAACCAGGGGTGGCTTTCGAGCTGGTGGGCGGCGGGCACGACGGAGGTCTCCTTGAGCAGGCGCTCCATCTCGGCCTTGGAGAAGTTGGACACTCCGATGGCCTTGACCTTGCCGGTGGAGAGGAGCTTCTCCATAGCCTTGTATGTCTAGAATGGTGGGTCAGTATCCTCGATGTCCGTTCAAGTGTCTTGCCGAGGAGGCGGGGGGCTGAATGGTCTTACGTCGACGTAGTCAATGTCCTCCACAACGGGTTTATCGTTCTCCTTGGGGAACAGCTCGTCGCCACGCTTCCACGCAACGGGCCAGTGGATCAAGAAGAGGTCAATGTAGTCGAGCTGCAGGTCGTTGAGCGAGTCCTGAAGCGCCTGGGGGACATCGTCGGGGTGGTGCTTGTTGTTCCAGAGCTTGGTGGTGACGAAGAGCTCTTCGCGGGGAACGCCGCTCTTCTTGATGGCTTGGCCGACGGCCTTCTCAGTGCCGTATCTATTTCAATGGAAATCAGCATGTGTGTCGCCAAAAAAGAATAGGTGAGGTATGGTCTGGGGAGCGTACACTCGGGCGGTATCGATGTGACGGTAGCCGGCCTTGATGGCTTCGAGAACGGCATTCTCCTGAGCATCGGCGTCCTGCCAGGTACCGAATCCAACAGCAGGGATCTCTGCGCCGGTGTTGAGCTTGAACGTGGTGGCCATTGTGTATTAAGTTGTCGGTTTAGTGAGTTGTGAGTGAATATGCAAGGTATCAATTGAGGTTCTTAGTGCAAAAAAGTGGTTTGTCTGGTCCGATTCTAACAAGGCCAACAAACGGTCTTTATACCAGCGGAGATAGAGGCCGACGTCAATTTGACGCAGCATCCTAATCACACAAGGTGCTTGTCTTGCCTCGTAGTGTGGATAACCATGACGTCGGACAGGCTACTGGCCGCAGGTTCCACATCGTTGGACCCAGCGACGGGTCCACGGATTTGCGAAAGACCAGGGACGTTATTCATGATGTCTCAGACCCGGCAATGATGTCGCTCAGTTATCTTTGTTGAAGCCATTCCTCCTGTGATCACTTCGGCATTATCGGTCCCTCATAGAGGGGTTCAAAGGATAGACCCACATAGAATCATCCTTCAGGTGGTTTGCACGAAGAAACCTATGGAATGAAGAGCGGTGTTCCACAGCTCATCATGAGAGGATAACATGGCTATGAGTTCAGTCAGTGCATCACAGTTGGATTTCGGATTCTATTTCCGCCTTCAATCTCAATGCGAAGGAACAGCCAGCCCATGACCAAGCGAGACCGAGAGCTGTTCAAGCTCTATGTACTGAGTATGAGTAGCTTAGCGAAATCGGCTAGACTGCCGAAGCACTAGCTGTTTGTCCCGCAATCAAACAGCATAAGTGGCGACTCTCACTTCCCGTACCTCATGCTTTCTATAAATTTTTGACGCAACCCACAACAATTTTTTTTCTTCCCATCATGATCGTGCAACCACAACCACCTGAAGAGTCGCCCAACACCGCGACCTTGTGAGGATATCTTGTTTAATGATGACTTGACATTCTCGACTCTCAATGGCACAATTGTAAAAGGTATGCGAGGACTTTTGCTTGGTTTTCAGTGTTTCCCCCCTCTTGGATGATGACCCTATGACACGCTTTAAGGCATTCCTCAAACTTAATCACCATGTGGAATTCGTGTTTTAACTCAAGTTTCAGCCTTGTCTGACCTACTTCAATTTATCTTGCTGTCTACTCAATTAGCTTGTCATTTGTGACTCTTCACTAACTTGCTACTTGATAGGTAAATACCACTCATTCAACTCCTCTGCCTATCTGGCTGCCGATGAAGAAATCTTGAACGAACGGGCGGACATAACGTTTACATGGACCTGCGCCCATCAAAAGCGAGGCGTACAAACCTTGCGGGTGTCAGGAAAGTGTATAACTTGTTGAGATCTTCGTCACCTGAGCTTTCATCGATCCTCTTCAGTTGTTGGAACCGTCTTTGGCTTCGAGTCATACTAACAGGAACCGACAGGTAATTTCCATTCGCTTCCTGTCTCAAACACGAGCATTGCCCAAGTCAACTTTATATGATGAACACTTATTCACACTGTTTGATCTGTGTACTCTGTACATGGAAATGAACATTAAACACAAAATTCTGATTTAATGAGGTTGGTACACGAAAATTCTGTGGTTTTGTGGGCTCTCGCTAACTCATCACTAGCCTGACTTCAGTTGACATCATTATCTCTTGAACTCACTCATGGGTCGTCATGAATGTGTTGCTGATTCTGTGGTCAAAGATTATAGGAACACTGATACCCTTGTAGTACATTGACTGAGAATTTGTGAGTATTTACCCTCAACCACACCTTGCCCTTGCATGATGATTCTTAAAATTCGCTGTGTTCTTACTGAACTACAATGTCGAAACAACAAAGATTCACCTTGGAGAACTGATCTTTACGCCTTCTACTTGATTGTGTAAGAGATGATTTGCTGTAATGGCTGCTAATATCTCATCATAGATGACTTTTGCTCGCTCTCAGCACAGATACTCATAATGAATGAAAGAAGAATATTTTATCAAACTTGAATGCTCTTGTAATTGCGTACCGTCATCCACTCAGCACAATCGTAGTCATCCTTGGTCTCTCCCCTATTGCCTATTCGAAGAAGAGATTATGCTTCTTATGCCACTCTTCCAAACTATCACTCGGATATTCCTCGTGCACCTGCTTCTTCCCCTCAGGCCAACGCGCCCACGTCGGCTTCGACCCAGCCATAATGCAAACCATCTCATCAGGCACCGGCAACTCGGTGTCGATCGCCGACGCGAACGGATGAATCAACTCCGGCCATTGCTTGTCCCACAGCCACAGCATGGTACTACAGTTGGAGCAGAAGTTCCGCTCCGACGAACAAACCTCCTCCTGTTCGGTACCGCGGGCCTTGATCGCGGAATATTTCCTTTCCGTGCAAATCTCGTTGTCAGTCGGGGTTCCGAACCAAATGTATCATACAATAGTCTTGGGGCATTTCGGCATACTTGATCAAATCCTTGCCTTTCTTGATGTTCAAGGTGTCGGCGATTCCGCCGAGATTGACGCTGCCACTGTAGCCGCCTACCTTGCGACAGATGCTGCAGGCGCATAGCTGGTAGGGAACTGGGGTTGAGGATTGCAGGGAGAATTCAATGCCGCCGCATTGGCAGCTGCCTTCTAGGGTCCTGATTGTTTGGTTTTTTTTTAGTGTTTGAATCGAGAGTTTTGGGGGTTGTTCATTGATGCTGTAACATGCGAAGATATATTTACTGTCGCGGCTGGTGACTGTAAAAGGTGGAAAGAAGAACTCACATTGGCATTTTCGGGTGTTCGGATTACTATCCACGGAGTTGTGGTTTGGATTAGTGAAAGCTGCAGATGAGGTCAATCCCTTTGAAGTAGGCTGTCATGAATTATAAATATCCTGGGGTTGGAGGACAACGTCATTGATATATCAGCGCCGCAGCTGTCCGTATCTAGGCGGGTCAGGAGGGGTGTGCCTGTACCATCTAGCAACACGCTCACAAAGAAACAACATATAACTAGGGGTCCGAGTACACTCGATTGGTCATCTAAGATATAGGTCCAGTCGACCAATTATCAACCTTTGTGACGCCTATCTTCCTCAAAACCTACAGGTTACATGGCCCCGGCCGAGGGTTGACCCCGCACGTATGAGTCAGGCCAGAAGCCAAACTCATGGCACTCATGGCAGCAGGCTCTGTCCTTTTGTAAGCATTAGATAGCATTTACTAAGAACTCGGACAGGTTCCAGCTCACTTTGACACATGCGGTGGTGCATATTGAGTAGATCATCTTGAACAAATGTTTGTCATGTTTGTCATGTCTGTCATGTCTGTCATGTTTGTCATGTTTGTAATGTTTGTTTGGCGGCACCGCTCCGGGCCTTTTTTCTCCTTCCGCGGCCTGGCAGAGGCAGGACCATTGTGAATGCCCTCCGATAAACAGCCGATAAGACGTTGCTCGATCTAACAAGCTCTTCGCTTGCTCCATACTCTCCGAACCGGATTATCACCCAGCCACCTCAAGGACCGTGCCACTTAGCCTTCGCCATGGGCTTCGGAGCTCCCGGTGGTGCCGCAACCAACTACAAGCCCACGCCGTAAGTTGTGGTCTGATGATTTCCTCTATCTCCGGTTTCCGCAACCGCGCGCGCGGTGTGCCATTTTGCGATGCAGGAGAACGGACCCAGTGCTAACTTCTGAATGGGGTTGTGTATAGTCCCGAGCGTGGCAGCTTTCCCCTGGATCACTATGGTAGGCCACCACTCTCTCTCCCTCCCTCTCCGCCGGCTCCAATTCGGCTGCGCCTGCAGGCCCTCCGCACTTCCTCGGCACATGCGCACACACGCAAAGTAAGCGGGAGAAACGAGACTGACATATCCTGGGCTGCAGGCGACTGCAAACATCTGATCTCCGATTACCTGAAATGCCTGAAATCGAACCGCGGCGTGAACGACGACGCATGTCGAAAATTGGCGAAAGGGTATCTCGCTTGTCGGATGGAAAAGTATGCCTTTCCCCCCCCCCCCATATTCGTGTCATACAGGATATTCCACGGGGAAAGTATGTCTGCTAATACGTGAATTTGTTCTATGCTTGGTAGCAATCTCATGGCGCCGGACGATTTTAAGAACCTCGGGTTGACATTTGAGAAGGACAAGGCCGCTGCTGCTGCTGCTGCTGCTGAGGGGGCTGCGGCGGGGACGGAGAATAAGTCATAAGTTTGGGGGTGGTTGCGAGGGTTGTACGATATTTCTGGGACGTTGGCGGTCTTTTGTGCAAGACATGAGGGGCTGCTGGGTTGGTTGATGATTTTCACGATCTGGTCGATTGGTATATATTCTCTCACTCTTCGTATTTTTCGGCGTCTGGGAAAGGTGGTTATCTATATTTCGTTCTATGTATGTACAGGATGTGCAGGATTATATGGTCTGTATATATGTATTGATTTAAAGCCTTCGCTCAAGCCAAATATCTGAGGCATACTCATTCTGAGTATGTTTGTTGTGGCCTGCGATCTCATTTAGAGGTCTTATCAGAAGAGAATGCGGAAACCCCCAATTTCCCATGCGGGGAAAGCTAAAGTTATCCGCACCACCGCGGCGAACGAACTCTTAGTCCTTAACAACTTCCCTACGGACTCTCCATCCTTTCCATTTACCATTGTGTCTCTTCGAGCTATCCCTTAAAATGCTCACCTTCACCTACCAATAAAGAAAGATAATCGGCGAAGACCTACCCCCCCCAAAAAAGAAAGACGATCTCCGCCCCCCATAATGTCCTCCATCGCCCGGCCCCCGGACCCCTGCCTGGTCGCCATCATCCTCATCGTCCGCTCGCGCGCCGGCCCCCGCTTCGTCTTCCACTACCCCCCCAACCCGCTCAGCGAGAACGGCTTCCGCTCGGCATCCTCCTCCAAGGCGGCGTCGTCGTCATCGATCTCCTCGCGCCGCGCCTCGCGCTCGAAAGCCACGTCCTCCTCCAAACGCGATCCCAATGAGTCCAGTTCCAGTGAGGAGAGCGGGTCGTCCTCGGATGAGGATGAAGAGGAGATCATTATTCCCCTGCAGCAGCAGCTCAACCAGTCGTCGTTGTATGTGGTTGGTGGGGGCGGCAATAGTGGGGTGAATAGTCGTCGGCCTAGTAGTTTCGGGCTCGGCGGTGGTGGTGATGATGGCGGAGGAGGAGGGACGGGCGGAGGAGCGGGAGCACGGGCTGGGATTGCTGGGTCGCCTGGTGCGGAATCGCAGAGGGCGGGGTCCATTGGGTCGGGGAGGGGGCTGTTGCGCGGTGGTGGTGCTGGGAGTATCAAGCAACGCGGGGCGAATTCGGATGTCGAGGATGAGATATCGATTGGGGAGAAGGGCGAGGATGAGGTGGGGAGTGCAGGCTTGGGGGTCGGTGGTGGTGTTGTTGGAGGGCAAGGAGGGAGTGGAGGTGGAAGTACAGGGACTCAGGGTGAGGGAAGTGGAGGAGGAGGTGTTGGTGGTGGTGGTGGCAGTGGAGGAGCTGGTCGAGGTGGTAATGGGGCACGTCCACCCTGGGAGACGTTGCTGGGACTCCCTGCTGATGTCTGGGAGAAGTTGTTGAGTCCGTCGCGGTCGTGGCATAAACGACGGTTCGAGGTCGGAATCAACGACCTTGCCTTCGTCGGGTGGCCGGTGTTCGTGCGGGAGGACGGCATGTGGAGGAAAGAGAGGCGCAAGAAGAGGAAGCCTCGTGCGACTTGGGAGGGAGGGGAGCTTGGCCATAATGAGAAGCCCGAGGATGATGACGAGGACGATGCTCGAGGGGAGGCGGCCGCGGACCTCCTGGCGGCTTCAACAGAGACTTTGAGTCCGAAGCAGATGACCCCCGCAGAATCTCAGCGTGCCTCGGTAACCAGCATCCACTCGACCAGGGCGGCAAGTGAGTCGCTGGATGGCGATGATAAGGACTCCATGACTATGTTCAACGTGGTTTTTGTGCTGGATCCGCCTTTATTGGAGTATTCCATGCGCCTCCGGGAAATCTACGATAACATCATTAAGAAGTTCTCCAAGGCGTTGAAGTGGGAGCAAGCGCGGACGGACTACGTATGGAGGGAAGCTCGCCATATCTCGCACATCAAGGAGAAGGCGAAGGAAAAGGGTATGTGGCTGTGTCCTCTGTCGACCCTTTTCGCTAATTAATCTTGTACAGGAATGTCCGTCAACAATCTCTACTCAGACCTTGTTCACCAGTCATCCCTGGCCAGGGCCATCTACACCGTATACACGAGCATATCAGCATCAAAGATTGCATCTGTCACCCTGAGTCCGGACGTTTCCATCTCATTGCAAATCCCCCCTTTGACATCGACACCGTTCCTAGCAGGACCGACCGACAAGGCGTATCCTGGCCTCTGGCTCACCACCGCAGACAGTGTCACGCCGGTTGATGACCCTACTGCTGACGAGAACACTGCGCCACATCAGGTATTAGCCAAGCACTTCGCTTTGTTGCTGCTGGACAACGAAGCAACCATCTTGAAGGATGTCGAAGCTTCTGGGGGTGCTTTGGCCCCTGCGCTTGCACATTATATTCGTTGCTCGAAACCTACCAAGTCATTCGCCCAAATAGCCGTGACCTCCGGCATACCACTGTCCACCATCCAAATGCTTGCCAGCCATTTGGTGTACTGGCGAAGAGCGCGGGCGATCCCCCCGCTTCATCAGAGAGACACCTATGTTGTATCACCAAATTGTGATCTGAGCAAATTGGAAGTGGCGACAGCTGCCTACCAAGCAGCTTTCCCGACTCTGCCTAGTCTCCCTAAGATGCTATCGGCCATGAGCGGAACCCCCAGACCGTACGGAAGCTTTATCCCCAGCAAAGACCACAAAGTCACATACTTCGCCATATTGGCGTGGTTGCTGCGAGGTGGCTGGGTTACCCAGCTGCGCGCGTTTGCAAGGGTCAAAGTGTCTCCGGAGATTAAGATGGCGGTCGAAGCAGCCATTCGCCGGGAAGAGGTCGACAAGTATCTGAGCAAGAGCGTCGTCAAGTCGGACGCAGACGACATTGACGATGATGATGATGATGATGATGATGCAAACTCATCCTCGTCATCGTCCCTCGACAGTCAAGATAGCGGGGAAGAGACCCCAATGCCTGGCCGGCACAAACCAGGCAAGAAGCTAGATTTGTCCTATTCGTTGCTGGACCGGACAACATCGCTGAGAACGTCTTCTCTGCTTTTATTCCCTCATCGCGCCTCGCCGCTCGAATCCAGATGGTTAGATGAGATCATGTCGCGATTCCCCGAGCGCGATGGACCGGGTACTGGCCGGGACGGCATCAACTGCGATGGCCCCGACGCCGACCTAGACCTCGTGGAGCTGCACCCATCTTTGAAGAAATACTGGCCTCGTTTCATCAAGTATTTCAACGGATATGACGCGCTGGAGAAGATCCCGGTCCGCGAGAACTTGAAGCGCAAGTTGGTGTGGCAGCTTCTCACGCGTCTCGGACTGGTGACAGGGCAGCAGTCGTCCGTCGAGCTGGATCCCAGAGAGCAAGTCCTGGTCAGTGTGCGTCATTGGTAAGGAGGAGGAATAAGATAATTATATTGACGATTAATGAGCCATAAACTGGAGGGTAATAGTGGTAAATCAGGAAAGAAAGGATCAATTGAATAGCTTGGCATAGTATCCGCCCTGGACGTATAACCTTTCAATAGATAGAAAGTACTGACGAACACTTCTGTCAATCTTCACATGATACAACTCAAGCAACAACACAATTGGGAAACAAGGCACGTGAACACAGTGATGAGCCCCCACAAATGGGTAACCCATTCCCCGGGCCGAATAATAATACCAAGAAAGTTCTTCAATTACATACAGTAGCAATTACCCTACCATTGCATGCTGAAACAGCCAAAAGAATTGGCAGAGGGGAAGGCCGGGATTCCCGAAGTGTTCCGAACTCGCACCGAAACGGTCAGAAAGAGCGGAAAGGAAAAGAAAATTTTAAGGATGGTTGCAACTGGAACGTGGAGCAGGTGCAGCAACTTGTAGCAGCAGCCAACCCTAATTTTTCGACATTTTTTTTTTCGAGCCACTCGCCCGGGGAGGGGAGGAGGGGGTTCCGGATTTGCGCTAAGCGATTTATGATTCAAAACCCATTGGCTCTTGGTTTGGTTTACTTGGATTCGTGATTCGTTGATGATGGAAGAGAACTGTAGACACCTTATGTACAGTATAATATATCGGCACATGGGGAATGGGAGTATTTTGTTCGAATCCTGTCTTTGTGTATACCTGCAGAAGAAAGTGTAGTATCTTGTTCTGTCTGGAAAAAACACACTTCTTGTTTCAAGCAGCAGCGGGAAGCTGCAGAGGGCAGAAGCTTGGGTTGGATCATTAGAGGATAGTGAACCTGTATATCAATAATAAGGCTTCGCGCGTGGTGGTCGGTTGTAGTGCCAGTATGAGAGTATGGAATCTATGAGCAAGGCTTCAGGAAGCAGCTTGGTTGTTGTTTCCCAAGGCGCAGGGGGGTGATGGATTTGCCTTGCTGCAATAGCGTTGGACTACTATGTGGTTGTCATGGAACGACTGCAGGTTGACTTCGGATGGTCGGCCAAGGATGCTAATATTACACAGTCGATGGCACCAACACAATATTCTGCTCATGAGTAAGAAAAGATCGAACCAGATCAGATGTAAGATATAAAGGGTGACCACACAAATGAATAATTGACTGGCACTAGTTGCTTATTTGTGCCTGATTGGGTCAAACAGAATCTCTCAGTGAACCCCAACCCAACCCCTCCATTGTGTTCAGCTACAGATTCATACTCCCACAGTCTTTAAGACTGGCAAGGGCAATCGGTATGACGGGTGAGTGAGGCTAGCTTCGGAGTACTGACTAGCTAGGTGCATCTGGTCATTCATGTGCCAGGACAACACTTGTGCAACCCTGCTGTCAAAAAGCAAAGCTAGACAAAACAAAATATACAGTAGTGAGGGGCTGTTTCTTCTTGGATGACCGCATCAATGGCGTCAAGCGTCAGCTTTTGCATTTAGGCGTATATATAGCCTAGCCTGGGTATACTCCATGTATGACACGAGAGGAATTCGACTAGATTCCGGACATCATTCTCCACGCGATCGCATTGTGATATGTACAGTGTATGTTGGACGTCCGGGCTGAAGTGGAGAGGGGAAGAAGATAGTGAGGGGCTACCGCGGTCAGAAAAGAGGACTGACTGATGGAAGTAGCGTCGCGACCAATGAGGTACAGGACTATTGATATTTCGGCTCGAGAATTTCCTCCAGAAAAGAAATTCCTTTACATCCATGGACCACATGAATGCTAGGAGACTGAGGAGCGAGTATAAGGAGCCATAGGACTACCACCATCAGGGTAGAGTAGATTTCATAGCAATCATCATTGTGAGAGTGCGAGGCCCTCCCCTTTAACATTTCCGTATATCGCCCGTGTACTGTATCCTCTGGATAGTCAGTATATCCGGCTATACGATCAACTTCAGAACTTCAAGTCTTCCAAGGTGGATTCGCCGGACATTTTCACGGGGCTGAGGAACGTGCAAGAGTGGTTCATACCCACGCAAAGCCCTGACATCCACTCAACTAACCGCAGTTCTTCAAGAAAAGTAGTGCGGGTATATGGAAGGAACAATGTTTTACCAGTTTTTTTTCTTTCCTTTCTTTCCCCCAACTCCGGATCTCTCCAAGTTTTAGGTAAGTTAGGTAAATCGGATACACGATTAATTACAAGGTCTGAGAGGCCCTTGTCCCTTCGTTCTTCCCCATTGATACTCATAATTTCTCTCTACAATATATGATATTAAGCAAATTGAAACATCATCCATGATCTGCGAAGACAAGATAAAAGAGTAAAGTGTTAACTGAACTGAAAGCAAAGAAGGTCGGCCAGGCGAATTCCACACAGGCTGGCTGGCTGGCTGGCTGTGAATTAACTGCCTTCTTCGGCTTCCATGTCTCTCCGGCGGCTTGTAACTTATTTCTTATGATTTTCTCTTTCCTCTGACACACACACATTATTGTCTGTCACTCACTCACATTCACTAAACTCATTAACCACTGTTACTACCAACGGGCAGTCTATTCCTTCATCCTCTTTTCGTTTTTTCCTTTTCCTTTCCCTTTACCCCCCCCCTCTCCTCCCCTCTTCTTTCCCCTCCTCCCCTCCTCTAAACTACTACTACTACTACTACTACCCTTACCTCCATCCATAACTGTTTGGGAACTTTCGCTTTTCCTTCATTTTCTCTCCACCGGCTCTCCGTGCCTGTGTTGCTGTAGTGAAGTGGTGCGCCTTTTTCTCCAATACACTTTTTCCGTCTTCCGATCCACACATTTCTGTGTTTCGCGGAACTACGGCTTTTCTTATTTTTTTTTCTTCCGGCATTGAACAAGGTAACTTGATCGATTGATCACTTTGATCTTACCCATCTTGTACCTTCTCCGCACAGGTTCTGCTTCAAAACTCTTTTGTCGCAGCACCTCATTCTCATTTTGTTCTTTTTTCTGATTCCCTTCTGCTTTCCCGCACCAGGCCATTTTCCAAAACCTCGAAGTCAAGGAGCAGTCGTCACCACGTGCAAGTCGCGCTTCTCGTCCACCTTCTACACAAGGGGCAAGATCAACGGGTTCCTTGCGAGCTTAACCAGCGTGCATCGTTCTTAACTGTGCCCGCCCTGTCCTATTCTCGACTAGCCAAGTACCAGCAGCGCAGTTGGATCCTCCGACGGCCCGGACTTCCTAAGTACATTTCGTGAGTTTGGCAACAGTTCAGCAGCGAAAAACTCAACCCTAAACGAAAACCACCCAGGTACTCGTTGATATAGTACGGTTATTCGAGCTGCGATTTCCTGTCCTCAACGAACCTCTACGTCGATCCCTAGATCTCCCCCCTCGCTCACCGTTCCAACGGCCCTTGACGCGAACGAACCTCGGTATTCCTATCTGCATGCGATCCGTGTTCTAGATCCTAATTTCCGATCAGAGCATTTGCAGACCGACCACATTGTTACCAGCGTCATATCAGTACGAAAGGTTCGTCCTCGAAAAACAACCACAGCTACCTGCTGCCGAGTGATATCCAGCGACGGGAAGTTGCATAACGGCGGGGTTGCCTAAAGGGCGGAAGTTGTATCTTCTGCTTGCCATCGCCGGTGGAGTTATCTCACCGACCAACTGTGGTTGATTTTTCCCACGTTCTCTGGCAGAACACACCATTCCAACGCTATCTTCACTTTTTCTTCTTACCTAGAACGGTACTCTAGATACGTCTTTCACACACCAAAAAGATGGCTGCTACATTTTCCTACGCACAAGCCGCCAAGGGCGTCGCCCCAACAAACTCTCCCGCCGAGCCAGTCGCCTCATCCAACGAGCAGAACGCCGAGGTCAGCGCGGAACAGTCGACGGATGCTGCGTCTACCAAGGTTGAGCCAGGCCCCGAATCTGAGAACGTGAATGGAACCAACGACAAGGAAGCCGAATCGTCCAGCGTTGGCAACTCTTCAACCACTTCTAGCACGCTCAAGGACGAGGATGAAGTGAATACGCCCAATGGCACCTCAGAGTCTACTTGGGACAAACAGTCTCAAGCATCAGGAGCGGAGAAGGCCACCGGCGAAGAGGAGGGTGCTGATGACAAGACGGACGAGAAGGAGAAGAGCGTACCAGCTAAGGAATTGAAGGCTGCTCCTCTCCCTGCGGTCAACATCTGGCACCAGCGCAAAGAAGCCCAGGATGCTAAAGCCAAGGCTCTGGCCGCTTTGAAGCCTGCCACAAAGACTGGAACTTCCAAGACCACGTCCGCCGCTTCCTCGACGTCAGGCGATCATCAGCAGGAGCCCGCGAAACCTCCTAAGAAGAAGGGGACTGACGGTCAGGAAAGTGCCAAGGAGCGCAAGAAGACCGAAGGTGGTAAGGGACGCGATGAGAGCGCAAGCATTCCTCCCGTGGGAGATGCTAACCTCTGGCCGACACCCGATGTTGCTCAAGGTGAGGAGAAGAAGAAGCCTCAGGAGAAGTCCGATAAGAGCCCTGTCATTCGCCCTCACGGCAAGGAGAAGTGGATGCCTGTCCCATACGTCCCAACTGCCGTGTTCAACACCCCCCTTCCTTCTGCTGCCCGCCGCGGTGGAAGATCTGCCCGTGGCGGACGTGAGGGTGCTCGCAATGGCACCCATGGCGCCGACAAGAATGCTTCCGGTCAGGCCGGTCAGGGCTCTGCCAAGCAGACGACATCTGCAGACAGAGGCCGGAATGATACCAACTCTGCTCGCGCCAACTCTTTGCCTGCGCAATCTAGACGCTCTAACAGCGTTGATGCTGGACTTACCGACTCCCGCAAGCACCAGGCTGGTCGCGGACCCAAGGGCGCTGAGAACGTCAACGCTGCACAAGGTGGCAAGAATGTAAATGGCGCCGATACTTTCCCCCGTCACCACCGCGATGCTAAGCAATTTGCCAAGGGTCATGAAAAGGGCTCCGATCACCACTCCAGGAACCCCCAGTTGTCCGTCGATACCCAGGCTGCTCCGCGCTCAGGGTCCACTCGCCCGGAAAACGGCCCCAAATCGGGCGAATTTACCGGATTCCACGACCGTAAGGACAAGGACTTCTCTCGCGAGTCG